GGGGAACTTCTGTCTGCGCCGCGGGGGCTCTGGCGCGCCCCGCGCTCGGCTCCTCAGCGTCTCCACGGGAAGGGCCGGCGGCTCCTGGTTCTGCCGCGCCGCCTGCACAGGCCAGGTACAGCCGAACGGGACAGGGATGAATTTCCGCGGCTGCTGTCTTCCGAGATGCTCGGCTTGGAAGTGTTAGACCGGGTCTGACAGGCCAGAGCCAGGGCTTTATGCCCCGCACCGGGCAAGAGCTGAATGGTACAGGTAGCTTTACTGGTTCTTCTTATGGAAGAACTGAGGGGTACATGTAGCTTTACGGATCCTTCCTATGAAATAATTGAATGGTACATGTAGCTTTACGGATCCTTCCTATAGAAGAAAACTATTTGCAAACTGTTCTAAAAACAATTTGAAGCCTTTATTTGTTTTAGTCAGTTCTTCAGAACTGGCCTCCTTCTGGGAAGGTTTATTGGTGTTGAGTTTGCACTAAGAACTGCAGATTTTTTGTATTTATTTTTTTCCTTTACCAACTAAAACTTTTGTTTTCTGTAAGTCATAAAGTAAGATAATTTGTGCTATTTAAAGAGATGATATGAGAACAGTATTTTTAAAAGTCAGGTTTGGAGCCTAGTTTAGGAGTAGATTTTACCAGTAGTGAAAAGTTTAATAACTTAAGCTGATGCTTGAGTCTTGGAGAAATAGCTGAATAATGCATCTTGCATTTCTTTTTATTGCTCCCTCATCATCCAAGTAAGGCAGGAGTTTTAAATTATATACCTGTTTTTGGTTTGTTACTTAAGAGCACCATGCCAGATGTGAAAATGGTGGGAGTGGAATGGAAAATGAAGGTTGAAATTAACTTTAAATCCTTGAGTGAGGGAGGAGGAAGGAGTTCTGCAACCTTGGACTAGCCTGAAAGAAAGCGTGTAATATACAGCGTGCCCTGCATTCTTCTTTCTGCTTTCTGGCAACATCATTCCCAATTCACATAATCTTTTTCTTCTGTTGATGTCTGCAGCTGCTTTAAAATACCCATTTCTGTCTTGTGAACTTATTCTCCTTGCCTTTTCTCACAAGCTAGATTCAAAGATGTGCTCTTTCCTTCCAGTCTTTTTCCTTCAGAAGATCCACAGTCTGCTGCTTCTGGCTTCTTGTCTGCTTGCTGTTAGCAAAGTTGTCTCTGGCCGAGGGAAACAGGAGGCAAGGTTCCAAAACTCTTAGTTGCAAGAGCTCTGCAGTCTCTGGCAGATCAGGAGGAGCAACCAAGGAGACAACGCAGCTTGATCTAGCTAGTATGGGACTGTATTCAGGTGACAGCGCAACACCAGGTGAAGGGTGTTACTGTAGTGGGAGCCAAAGGCCTGACAGGAGAGGTTGTGACAGTAAATACATGTCTGGGGGTGAAACTTCAGGTAGAGTGGCTGGTTCTGTTCCCCAAGGGGAGAGTGTGTGAAGGGAGCTGAAGAGGAGCAGGCAGTCCCTTTAGTAGTGCTTAGGAAAAAGTGAATCCGTGTATATTCTGTCTTGAATAGAGCTGAGATTCAGTAGATGCCCAGTTGTGGGGTATACAAGAAGTCTGGATGATACAACCTCTCTACATTTTAATTCTTCCAGGTTTCTCTGTGGACACAGTTAGGACTTTTTTTTCCATTTTAGGTACACGGCTTACACGGCTAGTGTAAGACTAATCATCTTTCCCTTCTGGGGGAGCCTTGTTTTGGTATTGATCTTTAATAATGATTTGCTACCTGAATGTAGGGAATAGGGGCCTTCAGTTCTTCTGAGTCAGTCTGATAATTCTGCAAAATGGAGAGGGTGGCTGGTCTGTCTCTTGCACAAGGAAATTGCATTAAGACTGTACAGAGCAAAGAGAAGTTGAGGTGGGTGGGCAGGTGTGGAGGGAAATATGGATGTAAATTTGCTGATATTTAAGCAGTTTTCTCCCTTCCTCACTTTCTTTTAACTTACAGATATCCTTGATTTGCAGAAGGCATCTCAGAATGTTGTCTCAAGCTGCTCTGAGACCTCTTGTCCGTTCCCCTGGATGGTGCTTTGTGTTGCCACCACATGCCACCTCAGCTGTTTCCCCTTGGTGTATGTATGAGATGAAAGCACACATTTCTAATTATGTTGGTCAGCATGTGTCTGGGCATGCCTGTGCTTTTTCATATGTTGAAAGGAAAATCACTGCGTTAACATCATTCAAAATGGCGTGAGCTGCAGTTGAAACTGTACTTTCTGAATGTTATTTTCTCCCTTACCTCAGTGATATTCAGCTGCATGTCTGAGAGGAGTTTTTCATTCTGACATGCATTTCATGAAAAAAAGGAGTTATGAAACTATTGCTGTAGAAGTTCTTTATTTCAGCTTCAACAAAGAGAACTGGAAATAAACTGATTTTTAAAGGGAGGTTGTTTTTAAAACTAGTACTTTTACTTCTGCTGTGAGCTTATGGGCTCTTTCACAGTGTCCTTCAGCTTGGTCTTGTAGATTCCCAGAGTGAAAGCTCTGTGACACAAGGCACATTGCCTTATATACCTTAGGGATGGTTGGTGCTGCTCAGACGTTGGTTTGCACTTTATTGTGGTGACTTGAAAGCAGGTTTTCCATTTGCAGCCAGTGAGAAGCGTGTATTGTAAGCCTTAGCCTTAGGAAATGTTACCTGACTTCAAGGGCCTAAAGTCTGACCGAAACACAGAACCGCATTTTTCTTTCTTTCTTGAATGACAGTTCTCCCTCACTGTGGCCAAAGGTCAGGGAATGGCTCCGTCCGCTGCTGGAGCAACATCCCGTTCCTGACGGTGCCGCTCAGCCGGGCGCACGGGAAGCCCTTCGCGCACCGCAGCGAGCTGAAGCACGCGAAGCGCATCGTGGTGAAGCTGGGCAGTGCTGTCGTGACCCGAGGGGATGAGTGTGGCTTGGCTCTTGGGAGGCTGGCATCTATCGTAGAGCAGGTAATTCTGCCGCTGAATGTCTGTGCTAACTTCAGATACTGGGAGGTTGGTGGATGGCACAGAAGATTGTAGGCAGAGCTCAAAAACAGTGACGGTCCTTGAAACAACGCGTTGGCCTTTCCCTCGTGTGTTCTCCTAGGCTATGGGAGCATAAACCATGTAACTCAACAAAACAGTGTTTGAAGGGGTGGTGGGATTGACCCCTACCCACACAGGTGCTTGTTCACTCCCCACACCTCTGCCTTGCCACCAGTAGGACTGGGAATAAAATGGAAAGAGCTACAGTGAGAAAACTCATGGGTTGAAATAAAGACACTTTAATAAGTGAAGGGAAGGGGAAAAGAAGCAAGTGATACTAAGGCAATCGCTGTCCACCTCACAGAAGCAGTTACTGACAGCTTTGGGAATGGATGGTGACGAAGACTGGTGGAAGGTGCAGCCGCTGCTTTACAGCTTTTTTCATACCTTATCTTTCCTTATCTATAGCAGTGGAGGTGGAGGGGCCGGGGGCATAGAGGTGTTGCCAAGCAATATGTATTGTGAAAATTCAAACACTTGTGTCAGCAAGAACTGGTGAGCATAAGGTTATCTATAATAGCCAAAACTGTCACGCTAGCAATGATCCTACTCCAGGCCCTGTTCGTTATGTTCTGTGCTGGCAGGTGTCAATGCTGCAAAATCAGGGCCGAGAGATGATGATTGTCACCAGTGGTGCTGTAGCTTTTGGAAAGCAGCGGTTGCGTCACGAGATCTTGCTTTCTCAGAGTGTGAGGCAAGCACTTCATTCAGGCCAGAGTCAGCTAAAAGATGTGGTGAGTGGCTGGCAGCATTACCGCTTCTCCTTGAGTGTTTGGTAGGACCTTGAGTGTTGGGTAGTACCTGCTCCCATCACTGCCTGACAGCTGTTCTTTATCTTTGTAGGCCATTCCAGTCTTGGAGGCCCGAGCCTGCGCAGCAGCTGGCCAGAGTGGACTAATGGCTCTGTATGAGGCCATGTTTACACAGTACAGCATCTGTGCAGCTCAGGTGAGGGATTCCTACTTTCCTAGCCTGACTTCAGTCAGCAATGGGATTTTTCTTGGATTTTTTCCAAGTTTTGTATGCTGGTCTCTTTACTGTAATCTATCATTTCCATTGCTATCCTACTTTTGGGGCCTATTATTGTAGTGTAAGGCACTCCTGTAGCTTATACAGGAGTGCCTTCCTAAGTATTTATGGAATCGAGTTACCTGTCGTCAAGTAGAAGCAAATAAGCTTTTTCTTTTTGGAGCCTGTGTGTGCCCTGCTGTTATTTACAGGAGGGATTCTGTTAAGGTCTCTTCAGGAAAGCTAAGGTTGGTGATCTAAAGCAGGGGTTTCAAAATAGCAAGTGGCTGAACTGCCACACATTCTGTAAAGCTGACAAAAGTGTATATCCGCACATCAGAACTTGCTGTCCATCTGCACCTCAGACCTTTCTGACCTGTAGATGATGGTATCCCTAGCCTGAGAGAGGCCATTATAGGCTACATAGGCTCCTGTGGAAGTTAAGGCACAGAAGCCAGGAAATGTGGAAAGAATTACTTCTCACTTGTGTTCTCTGTCCTTTAAATGTGGCTTATGTTTCCCTAGTGACCTGAAGAGCATGACTGATCTGTCAGGATATGTCAGTACATACATTTATGCTGTTCTTCTCAGGAAAAGAGGTCGACTAAGTATACCTTAATTTTTTTCCCCATTTTAGATTTTAGTCACCAACCTGGATTTCCATGATGAGCAGAAGCGGCGAAACTTAAATGGAACATTACATGAGCTTTTAAGGATGAATATTGTCCCTATAATTAACACTAATGATGCTGTTGTTCCACCTCCAGAGCCAAACAGTGATCTGCAGGGGGTAAATGTGGGTAAAGTATTGCAAGGGGGTGGATCTCGGTACAGTGCTAATGTGTACTTCACTAAATCCCATAATCAGGGATCTCTGAAACCTACAGCAGGGAAACAAACATACAAAATGAGTATGTGAACAGAGGGTACTGGAAGATAATGATGACTTGTCTGTTCCTGATATGATACAGTGCTGTGGGGAGGAAGCAGGGCAGATTGTGACTCCTTTGCCAAAAGCAAATGTGCTTAGTTGGTTTTCACTGAAGAATTGAAGTTGGAAGGGACTTGTGCAGGTCATTTAGTCCAGCACCTCTCTTACAGCAGGGTGAGTTAGCAAAGACTGTTCTGTCACTGTGCACCAAGGTGGAGAATGCAGGTACTGATCACACTGCTTGTCATTTTGATACTGCTTTACTGCATTCCAAAATTATGTGCACTTTGCACAAACATCCACCCAGGTTTCACAGTGGGTGTGAACAAAGTAGCTCAGAAGAACTTGGTAGAGCTGAGGTAGCTTGCTTTTCTGTGTTGCAGCCAAATTTCCCAGTTCCTCCTGCTATTCAGTGCTGCTGATGTGCGTGTGCCTTGCAGGTGATTAGTGTGAAGGACAATGACAGCCTGGCAGCACGACTGGCTGTGGAAATGAAGACTGATCTCCTGATTGTTCTCTCAGATGTAGAAGGTTTGTGAGTAATTTCTTTACTTTCTTTTTTCATTGAAGTACATAAGTCAAACCAGCCTCTATTTGGGTTTTACTGATCTCTTCAGTTCATATTTTTTACAGGGACAATTACCATGTACCATGTAACTCCGTGAGGCAGTACACAGGGCACAAACCAAAGACTGTCTGCCACACTATTGAATCTGTGTGGGTGGGAATGCATATGGCCTTGAGACTTGTGCTAGAACCCGGAATACCACATGTACTGTGGCACTTCTGACTTATCAGAGTTGTGTGATACAGTCACAAGTAATGTGTGGGATAAAGACTATATTGTTAGAATCAGGAGTATAAGCCAAGCAGTATTCTACTAGCAGTTTTTCTTCTGGCAGCAGGCTCTGTCTTCCAGTGAATTACAGGTACATTACAAGTTCTGGTCATGGCTTTGCAGATACCTGGAACTTGCTCGCTTTTTCTGTCTCCCAGGCATTTGGCTTACACTGCTCTAGTCTTCTGAGCTGTGCTGCTGTGACAGAAGTCTGTCACCTGTGGATGTTGAAGTTCGTTTTCTAAAAGAGGAGGGTAGTGGCTGCCGTTTCAGATCAGTGTAGTCCATGTTACTCAAGTCATGTAGTCTTTTTGTATTCTTCAGATGGGTTTCTTTCAGTGGATCCTGGACTATTGTAGACTCTGAGAAGAAAAGAGCTGCCTTTCTATAAACACTTTTTTTCTCTGCAGATGTAGGTGGATTTCATGGTTGGTTCTAGTTGAAATGACTGAGAGCAACTCAAAACAGCAATAGGCAAAAACAACTTAAAAAGTAAATTACACCAAACACCTGCATCCTCCAAGCTTATTCATTCAATGTGACATCTTGATTTTGGAAAGATGTGTGTCCTCCTCTTCCCAAGCTATCAAGGAAAGACACAGCTAGTTGGTACTTGTGCTCTTGTAATGCCAATATTTATTCACATACAATTTCTGGAACCTGTAATGTTACAGTTTAGGTTTAATGTGTTAGGTAAACCAAAGCATAATTCCACTCCAAACATAGTTACATAAAATTGCGAGATCCAAAAAAAGAAAAACTAATTAATACGAGTATGTCTCTGTTGTGTTCCTTCTTAGCATACTTCAATAGTTACCCTTTGTACATCTTTCTGAATTGCCTAGTTTATCACTGTACAAGCCAGCATTCAAGAACACCATCTGAGATTTTGGTGAGGAGTGTCCTTTGACCAGTCAGTTGTGGGCTTGTATATGTAAGCCCTGATTTTGAACATACAAAAGCTGTTAACTGCCTGTGTAACCTCAACCAAATGTCTCTGCCTCCCATCTTGTATGCTGCTATTCAGCATGTGGGTTTTGGGTTTCTTATTCACTGTGCATTCAGTAAAGCTGCACTTCTTGCCTCTGTTTGCAGAGTGTTTCATGCTTTCAGTCACAAAGCAGTGGTCAGTGAAAGTTTTCAGTCCTGTAAACTGGAATACAGCTTCCCAGCCTCATGGGTTTTTGGTTTTGCTTTTCATGGGTGAGCTTTTGAGATGAGGATATATATCACTAACAGGATTTTATGTTTTATTTCAGGACTCTTTGACAGCCCTCCAGGATCTGATGATGCGAAGCTCATTGACATATTCTATCCAGGAGACCAGCAGTCTGTAACATTTGGAACCAAATCCCGGGTGGGAATGGGAGGCATGGAAGCCAAGGTAGAAATACAGAACATTTGTTTTATTGTTGGGAAGGAAAGGGAGATGTGGGTAGGAGAGAGAGATAAAATGAGTGTGCTACTGTTCAGGTGGATCTTGACAGGCTGTGGAAATGGACAGACAGGAACCTTAAAGACTTCAGTAACAGGAAATTGAGTCCTACCCCTAGGGAGGAACAATTCCATTCACTGGAATTAAATGATTCAGTTAGTTCCAGATGAATTGAATCTGGTGGGTACTGGCAGGTGAGTTGCCTGGCTGGAAAGGACAGACACCAAGTGCAATGTAAGCCAGCAGTGTTCCCTTTTGGGCAAAGCAGGCCAGCAGCGTCCTAGGTTGGTTGCACTAAAAGCAACGTAGTGAGCAGGTTGAGGGAAATTATTATTTCCCCCTACTTAGCACTAGTGACACCACATCTGTAGAGCTGTGTCTGGTTCTGGACAAGAAAGACATGGCATACTACAGTTAATCCAACAGAGAGCCATGAATATGATTAAAGAATTGGAGAATCTATCACGCTAGGAGAGGCTGAGAGCCAGGACTGTTTACTCTGGTGAAGAGAAGATTTGTGTAAAAATACCTGAAGAGAGGGTATAGGGAAGACAGAGCCAGATTCTTCTCAGTGGCCTCTTAGTGGTATCCAGGGAATGGACAAGAGATAGTGGGCACAGATGTGGCTTCACTAGGAGCAAATCATACCCAACAAATCTAGTGGCCTTCTACGGTTGCTTCTGACAGGGTTACAGCTTTGGTGGAAGGGCAACTGATATCATCCACCTGTGCTAGTGCAAAGCATTTGACACTGTCCCACACAACATGCTTGTCTTTGGAAGAAGATTTTTAATAAGCAGGGAAAGAACAAAATTAAATTCTTCACCTGTTATCTTACATTTTATTTCCTTTTCTGAAGAATTGCGTAAGGCATACTTCAGTGTCGGTGTGGACTGGAAGGTGGCAAAAGGAGTAGGTGTTTGTGTTCTGTTCGTAACTATGGGATGTGCAGAGCTTATTTAGAAACAACTTCCCCTTGATCTGGCTTCTGGAACAGTTTAAACAATGCCAGGTATTGAGGGGAAAGCTGTCAATGTCAGAGAGTACTTGTAAAATAGTAATCTGTTAGTGATACTTGGTATCTTTAAATCTGAATCACAATCTCAGTGCCTGTCTTGTAACATAAATGTGTTGCACTTGAGAGTTGGGTGCTATTCTTTGGAAAACAGTAACACCAAGAGTAGAATAAACAGATGACAGCTCAAAGTACAAGTCTTGACCATAAGCATGAAACTTGAGCAAAAATAGAGCAGTAGATGGTCTTGTGGTAGTCAAGAGTTTGGTATGTTTGAAAGGTGGTGTCTCCTACTGTGATACCTAATTGTGGACCCATACTAGGAAGGTGTAGATGTGAGGAAGCAGAGGAGCTTTTGCAGTAAAATAAATGACACAAAATTAAATATATGGGTGGGATAATGATGCCTGTGCCTTGATTGGGCAAAGAAACAAAGGGGACCACAGGCAGCACCTATTCAGCAGGTAACTTCTGGGATTTGGGTTTGTGTTTCTGTATTTGGCATGAACAAGTGAAATGTTGAAGGGGGGGAAACTTTACAGAAATTATGTTGTGATGATGCCCTAAACAGTGGCTCAGGTGTGTGGAAGGAGACTAGTTTTAGGACTAATGAGTACATGGGGATTTCAGAGAACCCTTCCTAACAAGTTGATCCTACTGTAAGCTCAACATTCTGTAGAAAGACTAAGCAAACTTCAGTGTACCCTGCAGCTAGTTAAGCAATGGAAGGTAAAGCACAAATACATGATCTCATTAAATGCTGCATTATGGAAATTCCAGAATCGTGTTGAATGCTCTTCGTAAGTGATCACTTTGGAGATGAAGGGGAAGCAAGAAGGCTCTTTGAGAGAGGTAATTTAAATGCAAAGTTAATTTCCTGAAACTTCTACACTTCGCTGTAGGTGAAAGCAGCTCTGTGGGCCCTCCAAGGAGGCACGTCTGTAGTGATTGCAAATGGAACCCACCCAAAGATCTCAGGTCATGTCATCACAGATATTGTGGAAGGGAAAAAAGTCGGAACTTTTTTTTCAGAGGTAAAACCTGCAGGTAAGAACAGAGGTAATACGTACACTGAGAGCTGTGGAGATTTCCTGTTTTACCATGCAGCAGATTCTTGAATGTCTGTTTCAGTGCCTGCTTTCATGCTTTGAGCAAAGAATCAGAAGATGGAAGGGCTAGTGGTCACTTCCACATGAGCTGGTACTTTGTCTGTTTTTGGTTTTTTGCAGGCCCTACAGTAGAGCAGCAGGGTGAGATGGCTCGAGCTGGTGGTAGGACCCTGGCAGCTTTACAGCCTGAGCAGGTGACAGAACAATATGGCCTCACTTGTTAAGCTTGTGACTGTGCAACAAGTATTACAACATAGATTCATAACTCAAATCGCCCTTCGGGACAAGAATCTCTTTATGTGCCAGATCCATCATCTGGCATGCTTGAAGAGATGAGAAAAGCAGAAAGATAATGTACCTTGGGGCTGTGAAGTAATATATGCTTTCATCTGGGGTATATAAACATTTTCATAGTGTCAGCACACAAATTATTTCTAATCAGAACTGCTGAAGAATTGGCTGGAATAACTTGCTCCATTCACTCCTCTAGTGTATGCAAAAGGGAGCTGTAGAAATTCAATTACTGCTCTGCAGCTGGGTTGGTAAAATGTGGCTTCTGTTGTGAAGAAGACAAGGTGGTCTTAAAGGAAGAACACTGTGGGTTTGGTGAAGACTGGGCATGGAAAGCAAGATAATAAGAAGCAAAGTCAAGGCTGAAGCAGTGTTCAGCCTCATTTTTCAGTGTGATACAGGCTGGAAAAATCGGCTAGCCCCTGTCACAGTCTGAACCTGGTTTTGGGTCGAAGCTGCCTTGTCTCAGGGCACAATTGCCCTGTTTGTTTATCAGGACTTTGACACGAAATGATATATTCAGGATAGCCTTCTTAATTATTTTGGTGGGGCAGTCCCTGGCTTGGGGCCGGCTTGCTGCCACTGGATATAGAACCGATTCATAACCTCCTCTTGTGAAGCACACACAAAGATTATGCGTTTAACATACCACTTTATTGTAGAAGTTTTCGAAGTGTGTGTGTGTAACACCGGATATGTAGATGTACCCGGTCGGCAAAGAGAAAGAAAAGAAGACTGCTATAGTTTGGGGTAGAGAGAGAGCCCGAAGCCCTTCCCGAACAGGGTCGACAAGGTGCGTGTGAGTGAGGGGCCAATGACACAGCCAGGGGAGAAGGCGTTAGAGGTGAAAGGTTTGGAGGATGATGTTGTGCTCAGTTAGAGGTGAAAGGTGTGGATGGGGATGTGCTCACGTCCTCCTGGAGCCGGGGGTGAGGCGAGTTGTGGCAGCGGTGGCAGGTCCAGCACAGGAGGCACCAGCGGCAGGGACAGCAGGGGCCGCAGTAGCTGCTGCCTTCGTCCTGCTGGTGCCTCTGGCAGCCGAGCTGCCGTGTGCCTGGGCACAGGAGACGGCTCTTTTTGGAGTCTGGGCACGGGGGCAGGGCCACGCGCCGCTGCCGCTCTGAGGAGCTTCTGCCGATGGTCCCAGGAGCGCTGGAGAAGCGAGGGCTCTGACGCTGCGTTCTTTCCTCACGCAACCCGGCTCTGGCATCGAAGTCATGGCCCGTGGTGGTCTCAGCCAGGGCTGCTTTCAGCTCGGCTCCTTTGGTTTGGTTTTCCTTCTCCTCTCTCTTTTGTCTTCTTCTCTTCCCTCTCCTTTGCACCTGCAGCAGCGGCAATGGGTGCGTAACGACCCGCAAACGATGGTCGCCCCGGCCTAGTGCAGCCCCTGGTGCAGCCCCAGCCCTGGTGCAGCCCCAGCCCCCGCCCCTGCCCCGCAGTATTGCTGCCGTTTTCTCCTTTATTTTATTTTTTTCTGTTACGGCGTCTATTACAGTCAATTTCAGTGAGAGACACTTTTTTGGAGGCCAGTTCTCCGCAGCCCCAAGTATTCAGGGAGTCAGGACAGCAATGGCCTGAAGGGGACCAGATAGCATGGACTGTGTGTAAGACGTTAGTTCAGAAACTATTTCTCTTTCAGAGAGCAGAGATTATTTATCGTCTTGCTGATTTACTAACTGACCAGAGAGAAGAAATTCTTCTGGCAAACAAAAAGGACTTGGAAGAGGCCGAAAATAAAGGTAATATTTCAAGTCCTTTTGCGGTACTCCTATGGTCTTGAATCAGTCTGGGCCTCAAAGGAAACGAGGAGAACTAGAATCTCTGTCACCTGGGATTGGGTAGTAAGGCTGTCACAGATTAGTGAACCCAGGACCTTGAGAGCTTGGCAGTGTAAACAGCTGCAGCTTCCTTAATTACACAGAGCAGATGCCTTCATCAGAGAAGGTGCTGAGGCCTTGCATAACACCAAGGGGTTTATTAGAAGAAAAAATAATAAACATTATTGCTTCATTTTGCTGAAGGAGGCTCACATTTAGAAATGGAATATAACAAACTTCATCTGTGTTATTGTCATGCATAAAGTGAGTTTTTTCTGGGCTGGTTAAGGTAATGTTTGGCTCCTGAGGGGGGAAGGCTGTCATCTCTATACTTAAATTGATGCTTTCCAAAAAGAACCGTGTCACCTTCTTGTTGAGGAAGGTTCTCTTTAAGTGGTTTGGATTAAACCTTTTTTTCTATGTTAGATGGATGCATTCATTGAGAAGTTGCTATTGGGATGTGAAAATACAGGGTTAGCAAATGTATCAAAATGACACATAATTATTTGTAATACTTTGTGGAAGATGCCAGGAAAAAGTTTTTTACTGACCGGAGTACTTGAGGGGACATTTCAGGGTTGACTTACTGACTGAACATGTTCAGACTAGAAAATTCAGGCAGTGCTTGCACAGTCTGAACAGAAAACCCTATGCATTTGTCTGTGCTTTTGGGATTTCTATCTGTAAAGCAGAAAGATGCAATTTCTGCACAAACCTTCCAGAAATACTACAAGGGTAGGTATTTGTGAGACATTTAGACATACAGCAGTACTTGAAACAGGACAAACCTTATATTTGAGGATTTTGATGTTGCTTCATGTTACAAATGACTGAAACTGCATTAAGTGAAAATGTGATAGTGGTTGAAATCATTGTCCCAATTGAGTGGTTTTATTGTGGCTACTGGACTTAATACTGTGCACTTTTCATCTCGGGTAGGCTTCTTGCTTGAATTTTCCTTAGGTTCATCACTTGTCTAAGTTTCTTTTGCCTAAGTCTAGGCAGACCAATCTATCTCCAGCACAATTTTTTCTTCCTTTTAGGGAGATTGGCACTTCCTTTGTTGAAACGTCTAAGCCTGTCCACGTCAAAGCTGAACAGCTTGGCTATTGGTCTGCGCCAGATCGCAGCGTCCTCCCAGGACAGCGTGGGCCGTGTCCTTCGGCGGACACGAGTAGCAAAAGACCTGGATTTGGAGCAGGTGACAGTGCCTATTGGTGTCCTTCTCGTGATCTTTGAGTCCCGTCCTGACTGTCTTCCACAGGTATGTGAAGAGGGCGGATTACACTGTTGGGATTTCTTTGATGACAAAAGAAAGGGTATTTCTGTTGGTCAGCAGCTGTGCGGCTGCAAGAAGTTTTGTCTCAAAGGACTCTTGCTTGGATTCTTCTAAAATTGATGTTTTTAAAACTGACATGTAGAAGGAGTTATATTCAGAGGGTGCATTTCCTTCATGTGTCTTACAAATGTGTGTTCTGTGTCTGACTTGCAGCTTGGGAGGCTCCTTCCAAAGAGCACTTGTTTTATCTGTCCATGCTGCACACAGCTGAAGTGCAGGCTTGGATTAAACAGGAGCTGTTTACTACAGATGCTAATAGTTAACTGTTACTGTTAGGGATTAAAAAAAAACAACAATTAAAAAAGGCTGAGCACAGGAAGCACAGAAGGCTTTGAGTGTACTCAGTGTACTGTACACTTTGAGTGTACAGAAGGCTTATCCTGTACTGATAGTACTTGCGTGCAGTGAGGAGGAAGGGTAGCTTTTACTCAGCTGTAGTGAGATTGGTGTGAGTAAGAATGGTGGTGTTCTAAGTTCTTAAGTCCTGAAGTTGCTGGGAAGGCTAGTGAAAATGTAAAATAGCGTACTGTGAGTGTGATTTATCTTGTGCCAGAAATAAGGCAAATATCTTCATCTGCCATGCTGTGTGCAGGTACTGTTATGAGTAAATTATGCTTATAATGCAGGAAAATTTATGAGGGCTGAACTAATTTCCACAGGAAAGCTTGATCTTATTTTCTATCTCCCAACTATTTTATGGAGCAAATTCAGTAGACTTTAAAAATAAAACAAAATAACTTCATTATCAACACTATTTCCCAAAATTAACATTAGGTACCCAGGAAGATTGGTTGAGGATTTCTCTAACATATGAGCAGGTGTTTGAGGAGAAACTGCTGGGATCAGGCACTTTAAAAGGAAGTGAGATTACAGTGGACAGCTTGGTACTTCATGCCTGAAAGTTATGAATGGTCCCCATTTCATACTGAAAGCAAGAATGGTCTAGGCAAAGTTCCCATGAATTGAAAGGCACTAGTCTCCTTTGTCTACCATTATTAGCTCCTTGCTGCTAGCTCTGTTCTTCATAGATAACCAGGATATTCCCTTGTTGAATTCTAGTCTATCTTCCTGGACTTCAACCCTGGTCTCTTGCCTTGCATAGCTGATGTCTCCCTCTTTCTCCCCCCTCTTTGTTATCTTCAGACTTACACCAGAATGACTCTTACTGGCTTCCTCCTGCCCTTTGTTGTTTGTTTTTTTCACAGACATGGGATAGCTTGTCTTGGTATGTGTTTTTCTTCTTGTCAGCCTCCTGTCCTCATACTCACATCAGGTTCTCTGATGTACCTTCAGAGGATCATCTTTGATACCTGTGTTGGAATTGTATGGTTTCTGTCCTGTGCTGTAGCTGATAGTAGGGTGGTCTTTTGAGTGCAGAGGAGCATTTCTCTCCTCATAGTTTCCCACTGCATTAGAGGAGAAATTTGACTTTGCCCTGGAAGAGAGCATGCTCAACTTGCTTCCTGGAGATAGCTTATGCAGAGTTAAGAGTCAGTGCTCCGAGTTCAGTCTTGAGTTGCAGTAAAGGTAAAACACTTGTGGTTTACCAGTTAAACTTAATAAGCTTCTAATGAGCATACACAAATAGCATGTTTGCTTATGATACTTGCAAGGCCAAATTGCGAACATCTTTCACAGGCTGCTTCCTGTAGATTCTGCTAAATCCAGTTGTAGTCATGCTGTACTATTCTTTGAAGGGACTGAACTGTTTTGAAACCCCTTATCTTCTGTTTTCCTTTCAAATCACAAAGTTTTTCATGTCGGTGTCTTCTTTATTATTTTTTTCTTTTAGTTTTCAAATTAGTTTATGCCTGCAGTCAGGAATTCTTTGTTTAAATAACAGTATTTGTTTAGCTTTCCCTTATGATACCGACCTTTGGAGATACTTAAAGGATACTTTCAAAACACAGTCAGATTGCTTTTAAGTGTCTAGTTTTGTAAGTTAGAAAGAGACACAGTATCTGTGTAAGGCAGGCTTCCTAGAGTACTGTACTTACAGTGTGTTTTCTGACACATTTCTGATTTTTCAAATTGCTGACAGCAGGATGAAGCAGAGTATCAAGCATTGTGATTGTTGTTATCCATTTGATGTTAGAAAGGGGAAGGAGGTGATCTGAGATGTATCTCGTGCTTAATGCTTCAAATTTATTTTTTTTACTAAAATTTTCTGGAGAGGAGATGGTTTTGTTTTCTAAAGGAATGTATGCTGTTTGGTTTTTTCAAATTGATGGACAAATTGTGAGGCCACTGTGAATGGGATTGGGGTGAGGAAGGCAAAAAGGGATAAAAAAAAGTAAAGTAAGTGTGGGAAGAGAACCTTTTCATGTCTGACATACTTCTAGGTAGAAAAGGAAAAAAAATGAAGCAAACAACAAAAAACCCTAAAACCAGCCCTCTGGTAAAGAGATTTTCAGTTCAGTCGGGGAAACACCAGTAAGAGCTGGTGTCTGGAGATTTAATTAATTTGGTATATGTTTTCAACAGCAGAAGTAAATTTTTATTTACATTCCAAAAAGTTGTGGCTTCTTCAGAGCATTTTTTTATAATATGGTGTAGTTGTGCTGGACTCAAATGGGTGAAATTTGGCAACGTAAAGAGGCAGGCAAAAATATCAGTTGGTTCCTTCTGGTTATGATCATGAAAGCAGTGATACAGGTGATGCTGGGCCTATTATCTAGAAGGCTTTTTTCCCCCACACTTACAACAAGTGTTGTCTATTTCTGACTTCTGCTTTAGACAGAATGATGGAAATGTTCCTCCTGCTTGTATGAAGAGCTCATTAGCCACTTTCTGCCAGAATGGTTAGGGACGAGTTCTTGCAACTAAAATTATTTTCCTTGAGGTGATTGCCCACACAGCTACCCAGTTCATACCAGAGTCTGTGTCCAAAGTTTTCTCTGACTAGTACCATGAGAACTCAAGTTTGTTCCTGCTGGTACTTGTAGTGATTTTTGGGTGCCATAAAATTAAAGCCATAGACTTAAGTAAAGCAGCAGGATTAAAAATCCTGTTCTTAATCTATTTTGTGGGTCTTTCTCTGACTGAAGAGACAGATTACTTTTCTTTTTTATGTTATTTTAAAATAAACTCTTTTCTGACAGGTGTCTGCTTTGGCCATAGCCAGTGGAAATGGCTTGCTACTTAAAGGAGGGAAAGAGGCAGCACGTAGCAATCAGATTCTTCATCATCTGACTCAAGAAGCCCTCTCTATTCATGGAGTCAAAGATGCAGTTCAACTAGTAAGTGCCTAGAATGAAATCAACAGTTTCTTTGCTATGGTATCTATGAAGAGCATGGGCAGAACCTGAGAGTTCAAACCATAAGCTGTTTGCATTGCAACTACCATAGGTGAACACGAGAGAGGAAGTAGAAGATCTTTGCCGTCTGGATAAGCTCATAGATCTAATCATCCCACGTGGTTCATCACAGCTAGTCAGGAACATCCAGAAAGCTGCCAAGGGAATCCCAGTGATGGGACACAGTGAAGGGATCTGTCATGTCTATGTGGACACAGATGCCAGCGTTGAGAAGGTCACACGAATAAGTAAGCTGGGAGAGGGTGACTTGAATTTCACAGATGTTATTGAACTTCAAATCTGGAGTGTGAAATATGGTTATGGTGATTGATAATTCAAATGCTGCTCAAAGTCTTTGTGATAAATGTTATGTAACCAATTACCTACTCTTAAAACTCAGTCAGAGACTCAAAGTGCGAATATCCTGCTGCCTGCAATGCTCTGGAAACTCTCTTAATTCATCGAGACTTGCTGAGAACCCCGTTGTTTGATCAGATCATAGACATGTTGAGAGTGGAACAGGTTAGTCACTCATACTTGTGGGGGTTTTTTGTGAGCTTTTTCGTTGTTTGATTGATTTTTATTTTTTTTTCCTTACACTTCAGAAGCATTCTGTCTGGCAGGTGTAGCCCTGATTAATTTTAGGATGAAATAACATGTCAGTTATCCAGGTGTCTCTTTGTATATGGAAGTCAACTTATGGAGAACTTACACTGCTTCTCCACACAACCCCATTTTTCTTTAGAAATTATCTTAAAGCTGCTTCTTCAGGACAGCTACATGCCATTATTGGGCAGAAATACTTTTATATAGCAAAAATGGTCTTCTGCCTTAGAAGAGCATATACACAATGCTTTCTCTGCCCTTCTTAATTCTGGCTTAATTGCTGTTCACCTCCCAGATATGAATAGATTCTTCTTGAATCTATTAATTTGACTTCTTACCCAAGTGATTTTTCCCTTTCTTGTTTTTCTCCCTTGTCGGTCTGCTTCATCTACATTGTTTTAAACCTTTCATCTTGCATGACCTTTATTCATGCATATTTTCCCTCCTAGTACATCAAAGGAACAGGGAAAGGTCAGTATACTAATTAAGGTGTCTTGACATAGACAATGTTTTGTCCGTAAGAGTAGCAGAGAGGCATAGGGAGAGAAATATCCATGAAGCAGTGTGAATTGCACATAAATCAAGGATTTTCACACAGCAGTATGTATTTGGCAAATAGAGTGTGCAGGCAGTGATTAATGCAGGCAAAGTAGAGAAGCCACATGTTTCGATGATGTTGAAAGGGTCATAGTAAAAGAAACTCATAGGTAGTCAGGAGCAAGTCGTCACTTGCTGGATTTTTTTAATGTCTTTGGCTGTTTCTTGGGAAGGGCAGGGTGAAGGATAGATCCCTGTATTTTGCATGGGAGGAACGTGAGGACTAGCGCATTTCCAACACCCATCCAGCTCCCAATACAGTGGGGCAGATGTTACCTCAGTCCTGACAATAAACATGTAAATATTGGGCAGAATGAGGCAATGAAAGTAATTTATAGTTCCACAAGAAAATGCTGTTTTACAGATACCTTCTTAAAAGTTTTCCCATTTAAAATTTTGCAAACTTGTGTCTCATTTCCCATTTATGTTTGTCTTGTCAAAATGTCCTGTCTTTCATTTGCAGCGGGATTTCTCTGCTGTGTCAGTTCTAAATTATCTCTCATTGTTTAGGTGTCTCGTCTGCTATGGTTAGACTCAAAGGTCGATAATGTGTTAAATCATCTTTCCAACAAATGCAAAATACCTGCATGAGTTTTCTTGTTTTGGACCCAGTAACTCCTTTGTGTCTGAAACACTTTGGAAAGGGCTGGTGTCAGTTTACAAAAATAAAAGGGTAAAAGCCATTCAAGATCTTAAGTCTTTTGTAGGTGCAAACTTGGAAGCGTTCCTGTAGTTATTTTCTGCACTGCAGTTGCTTTCTTAAAATAAGGGCTGGCTGCAATATTTTAGCTTTTTCCAGTCTAGCATTGTACTGTCCTCCTGCCTTACGACTTTCTAAGTGATTTGACTGCTTGAAATAATTTGAAATGAGTCCTAAACTAGGAGTATGTCATGCCCCTCAGTTTGTGTTACTGCTCAATGATATTATATGGAATGGAATGTCCCTTTGATTATTTTCGGTCAACTATCATGGTCATGTCTCCTCCCAACTTCGTGCACATTCCTAGCATTCTTGCTAGGGGGACAAAGTGGGAGAAAAAAAGCCTTGACCTAGTGCAAGGCTCTGTTCAGCAACAGCCAAAACATTACTGGGGTTTCAGTACTGTTTGGTTCACAAGTTCAAAACAGTACCACAGGAACTGCTATGAAGAAAATTAACTACATCCCACACAGAGTACAAGCAACCCCATTTTGACCTGGAAGACATTGGTATGGTCAGCAGCACAAAATGTTTCTGGTGTTGCAGGTAAAGATTCATGCTGGCCCGAAGTTTGCATCTTACTTGACATTCAGCCCTTCAGAAGTGAAGTCACTCCGCACAGAATACGGGGACTTGGAGTGCTGCATTGAGGTGGTGGACAGTGTCCAAGAGGCTGTTGAACATATCCACAAATATGGAAGTTCTCACACGGATGTTATAATCACAGAAAATGGTTAGTGATCAGTCTGCTTCCTTAACCTACCGTTTTGGTTTGACTACCAGTTCTTGGTGTTAGTGTAACTAGTTACATTGCAGTAGTGGTTCTTTTGGGTCTGCAGAAGACATAACGAACTAGTCTCCTGCTGGCCACACTATTCCTGACACAAGCCAGGATACCACTGGGCTTCTGGGCCACCTGGGCACACTGCTGGCTTATGTTCAACTGGTTGTCAGCCAGTACTCCCAGGTCCCTCTCTGCCAGGCCACTCTACAGCCACTCTTCCCCCAGCCTCGTTGTATTGTTGCATCTGCTCACTGTATTGTGTTGTGTTTATCAGAGAGCATGATGATTCTGTACTGGATTTTATTTTTCTCTCTGCCTTTTCCCTAGAGAATACAGCAGAGTTCTTCCTCCAGCATGTGGACAGTGCTTGTGTTTTCTGGAATGCCAGTACCCGGTTCTCTGATGGCTATAGATTTGGACTCGGTAAGAGACCTTACTGCAGGGATGTGGTTGCAGGTTGCAGGATTTGCTGTTGTGTGAAGAGTGGCAGTCTGAATCCTGACAGGATGACAGGATTAGTCTCTGGTCTTAGTGTCCATTGGAAGGTTTTCAGATAAAGATACCATAGGATAAGTTGAAGCCTAGACATTTCATCCACATGGAATGTGAATAGTTTTGTTTCTCTTCCCTGCTAATACTGCCATACAGACTCTGCAGACTAATGTAGCAATAGGAAGCAAAGATGTTTTGGATCCTTTGAAGCTCTGTTCAATCAGAATAAAGTACTTTGCATGCATGTAATGAACTTTTTTTTTGTTTATCTTTCTAACAATACTGTAAAGCTTCATTCTTACTGGCCAGACTGAGCTGCTGACTAGTGTGCCAGCCCTGTGATGCTAAGGAATGAAAAAGACAGGAACCAAACAGAGTATCAGTTGCTTAAATAAATAGATGCTCCTACTGTGAATTGCAGAAGACAAGGGAAACATTCTTTCCTGAGGCAGAAACTCAGAAATCTCCGTAGCAGGCTGTTACTTTGTCATCTGGAACATTCAGTGTTCTGTATGATTAAAAAAAATTTAGTTTAGGGTCTTGCAGTATCACCTCAATATGATAAAAAAGGACGCAAGATCACACACAATCTTGACTACTTTAGCTCTTTTTAAAAGAAGGATAAAACCTTCAGGAAACAAGTATAGGCCCCATGTAAGAGATGCTTCTCCCTCTTGCATCTTTCTCCCTAAAAGTAACTCTTTACCAGCCAGAAAGATAAACATTACAATTTACAATGTAATAGCTAAACTCCCCTAACTTTTAAATTGGACCAGCTAAGCATACTGGCATTTAGAAAGGAGCAGAGAAAGGCAGGTGACTGAAGGGCAGGCAGCTGATTTTTTACATAAAGGTGCAAAACTGCTTAGTATGACATGAACATCTTCTAAGGATTAACCGTGCTTGTCTTGTGTGTTTCCTGTAGGTGCTGAAGTGGGAATTAGTACTTCTCGTATCCATGCACGTGGACCAGTGGGAATTGAAGGACTCTTAACTACAAAGTGGTTGCTGAGGGGAGACAATCATGTTGTTTCTGACTTCTCAGAGCATGGGAGCATGAAGTATCTTCATGAGAGCCTCCCTCTCCCTCAGAGGAATACCAACTGAGAACATCAGGGTAGGGGTGAAAACCCAGTGGTGTAAATATTTCCTGAAGGAGTTCAGGCTTCCAGGGCACTCTCTGGGGAGGGAGTTTCTTTTTAATCTTCAGGAGCATTGTTCTCTGTCACTGTGCAGTACAATGAATACAAAATTATTCCATCTGTGAGATTATTTTTTTTTCCAGCCTCTTTCAGTTTTCTTAGTATCTGCACACTGACCTCACTTTTCCTAGAGGCAGACTTCTTCAAAACATACAGCTACCATAAGGAAATATTTAAAGATCTGCTGCATTCTTCTTTAATCCTAATGCTCCCTACAGCAAATATGCTTGGTAGTGGAGCATAATTATTTTTTTAAGTCTTTTTTTTTTTTAAATTCTAATATCTGTTCTAGAGAACAAACTTGATGTTTTTTTTTCTTCAGTCTTCTGATCATGGCAGCTCTGTAAAACTGGAAAGCTTTACACTTCCTTTATATTGGTCGCTCTTGTGATAAAGGGATAGATGTTCTAAATGCAGAGTAAGCTTTTGACCAAGAAACCTTTTATATCTAATTGCTTTCTTTTTTTGCCTATTGTAGATAATTAACACAACTGTCTACTATGTTAGCTTTGTTACTTTTTTGTACCAAAGGTTTGTTTTTCTTTGGTTTTCTATAAAACTCAACCTTCTACAACCCCTCCTCTGAAAGCAATGCTACTTTGGCTTTTGCTGAATAAAGGTCTCAAGAAATGCTTCCCTTGGTGCCCTGCAGCCAGTGGGTTCAGGTCTGCTGGGCACAGCTCTCCCTGGATGGCCAGCAGGGAGGGGTGCCCCTGCAGCTGCTCTCTGTGCTGCTCACCCCTACTCCTCGCACAAGCGCAGTCCCGCCCCACACCGTCCCAGTGGCTGCTGGTGCCACCTGCTCAGCCCCAGCGGCACAGGCAGCCAGAGCCACCGGCAGGGCCTGGAGGGAGGGATGGTGCTGCTGGGGAGTGCCCACCCAAGATTGCTGGGGAGTTGCAAGCAAGTTTAAAGTGGATTCATCAACTGATTTAAGGATATTTAGAATCAAGCACCATAAGTGCAGCCCAAAGGGACTGGAGAGCTGTTACTGGGGAAGCAGGAAGACGAGCAGAAATAGATCCCTTCCACTCCAGGTACCTGGAGGCCTCCCTGCAAATGAACCACAGTACCTCCCTTCCCCTGAGCCTTCCCCAGCCCTGCTTGCCCCACACCAGCCTGCCCGCAGGCCTGGGGCCCACATCTCCTCTGGGCTCTCCCTAGATGCCCAGCCCTACCCAAGCAGCCACTTGCAGGGCCTGTATGTACTTAGTATCCCCGGGGATGGGACCCTCTTCTTCCACCTTGTACACTGCTCACCCACCAGCCCAGCCCTTAAGACTTACAAAACCATCTATAAATCCTGTACAAAGTAATCAGTCCTATATGTAGCCCCAACACTAAAATACTCCAGACTGCCCCACCCTTTCACCAACTCCAGAACTTTCCTCACAGCTTGTCCCGTTGCCTTGGGAAAACCCCAAATGTAGCCTGAAAAGCAGCAGCTGAGCCCTTCAATGCACTTCATCCTCACGGAACAGATACCTGTCCATGCCCAGTCCACAGGAGATTCTCTGGGAGCATGTCGTTGCTACTGTCTTCTCTATCCCTGCTCTGGAGCATGATCCTACAGAAGGGTGAACCAGCTGCTGCTCTCCCAGTCCCTTAATTCCAGCTGGTGTTAATTCCTGCCCCTTTCCCAGGGGATTGTGGGAAGGGCAGTGGGTGGGCCCCAGGTATATGGGCCATGGATTGTAGCTGTGGTGGTAGCTGTAGAGCTGTTGGAGCTGTTTGGGTGAGTGTGCTTGAAGACTGAAGCTTACTGCCTTCAAGAGGCATCCGTGTTCTGCGAGAGTCTCCAGGTAAGCAGTGTGTGTAGTCAGAATGTATCTTGCATGCAGTTTTTTTTCTTGTGTTGGTAACTTACCTTCTTTGGCTTCTCTGGTTGTTGCATGTTTTACTAGCCTGAAGTCTGTGCAGATCTTCCAACAGTTAGAAGGTGTACTGGAGGAGAATCGGACTTGAAAAGAAATTTCTCAGCCACCTTTTCTAATTCAGTCATTGCAAGTAGCTTCCCAGCAGACCAGCATCAGTGTGTGCCAGGTGGAGGCAGGAGCTGCTTTGGCAGCAAATACAAAATCTCCCTGTACATCTTCAAAATCACCACAACAGAACTCCAGTAGAATCACTAAAATGTACATATGCTACATACAAACTTCTTCATGATATGTTTTGGTTATTTTATTTGGTACATCAACTGCTTTCATGGAACTATATATATTAACCTTAATGACACAGCAGAAATAATCCTCTGTTGCTAACACTCAGGGGTAGAAACATGCAGTTAATAATGGAAAACATTGTTCACTGAACAATCTGTCTAACTGCTCCACTCTGATCTGTAAGGACAAGTGACACAGTACGTATGAAAAACAAGCTAGAAAAATAAAATGCATGGGTCGAATAGAAGTATCAGATAAGATTAATTGCTGCACTCTTAGTTTCTCTTTTTACCCTGTCATGTTTCAGGACTAATAAATTACATGGTTTGTGAACACGTTTTTCACATATGAACACATACGAGGTGGCAAAAAGTGCAGAAGTATAGGTGAGGGACGAGCTGTAACCACTGGTCTAATAAAATTGTGCTTTTCTCCACAAATCTTGCATTTACACCTGTGGCAGAAATGTGAGCAGATATTGAAAACTTCATGCTGTTGAGGGGAATAATAACCCCATAGAGTAGACTCTGATGGTTCAGGTAAAGTTACTGGGTAATTTCTCAGACTCTCCATCGATGCAGAAGTGACTTTTTAATCTCCCTGTACTAGTAACCTCTTGTTGAGCCACTGTGATCTAAGTACTCTAATCTTGCTCCAGTGGCTAAACTAACAACCTATGTAATGTTGGGGAGATGTTTTTTGTTTGTTTATTATTATTTGTTTGGCTTGTTTTGGATTTTTTAATACACTTATGCCTATTCTTTCTACTTACATATTCCTGTGTGGCTGTCTCACTACTAAAAAATATCTTTGTTTTACTTCTAGGAGAGAAATCTCAACATAGAATCACAAGTAGGTGATAATGGCAGCAAGAGCTGTGGCTCTTTTTGAGGAGAGCCCAGCAATGCTCTCAGAAATTACAGATGCAGGAGCCCCTGGCAAACGGTTTAAATGACAAAGAGGATACATCAAGAAATCTTCAACTGTTCTTTTCTTT